AACGTAACCACATTTGAATGATGATCACAATTACTCCGCTACCACTGTATTAACGAACTGTTATGTTGCAATGCCTGTAACTTTTGCTGACACTGCAAAAAAAATGTAAAATTAATAAAACAAATAAATAAATAAAAACAAATAAATAAAGGAACACTATAACATCAGAAATATGTGTATTCCTGACCTTTTAGTGTTAAAAACACAATTTAGCTTCCTTCTGTTACCCCCTTGCACCACCTAAATTAGTAGAAAACTCACCTTTTCTTTCAGCGCTGCACAGGTCTACCAGCATTGGCACTGCCCCCGATCTGCCTACTTGCCTGATCGTAATTTATAATCTCAGCCAATCTAATGCTTTTCCAAAGGAAAGCATTGGGGAGGATATTGCGCATGCTCTGCAAAATGCTGTGTTGGACATTCAATGCATCTCTATTCAATGCATCTCTATGGGGAAAGTTCAGTGTCTCCGTTCAGAACATGGAGATGCTGAAAGATCTTACCCAGAAAGCACCTCTACTGGCCGTCTGAGTGACTGCCACTGGAGGTGTCCCTAGGCAGCAATGTGAACACTGCCTTTTTTCTGAAGTAGACACCAGAACAACTATATTTAGCTGTAATGAACCAGTTGTTCTAGTGACGATTGTGTCCTTTTAAGAAATAGACTATCCATACCTAGTGAAATAAAAGTAAATTTTACCATTCCTTTCAGAACACCCCTCAGATTCTGGTGGAGTTGTTTTTTTGCAAATCACTTGGTAGTGAAGGGGTTAAGTCTCCAGTAGTGAAGGGGTTACGTCTCCAGTAGCTCTGATCTGATTTAGTCTGGTCTCCTGTATTAACCTGACCTGATTTACCCTCAAGTCATGCCAGATCATGTTTTGGGATAAAACCAAATACTGCACAAGCCAAGTCAGGAACTGAACAGTTTGTTAAATTTCCATCTTACTATTTACGTAAGCATTTTGTATTAATGTTATATATAAATAAATAATATTTTCTAATTGTCCTCAAAGACTAAAGTGAAATTGAGTTTTACCAGAAAAAGCATGGCAATATAAAATAATGGAAGTTGCTATGAGGTACTCCATTTGCTACTAAGTGCTGTTTGCACAAAGTATTTTAGTTGCCGTATCTGTTTTTTACTGGTGTTCCTTAGTTTTGGGTAAGAATCAGCCAAAGTCAGAGACAAAACATTTTTTTTTACACAGGAAATTACAAAAGAGTCATCTGCAATTTATATTAAAGAACACAATACAACTTAGAGGAACCGTCAGTTTTGATTTAATGGCAGTTCCTTTTCACTTTCCCTGTTTAAAGGAACACGTGTATTCCTGACACTACAGTGTTAAAAACAACATTTAGGTTTCCGGCCCTCCCTTGCCCCTTAAAAAAAACTTACCTTTATTCCAGTGCCAGGCAGGTCTGCCGCAGCTGGCTCTGCCCCTGCTCCATCCTCTTGGCTGAGATCATCAAAATTGATAATCTCAGACAATCCAATGATTTCCCATAGGACACCATTGGTAGGCTATTGGCGTGGCGAAACCCTGAACTGGCCAATCAGCATCTCCTCAAAGCAGTGCACTGAATTAATCCATCTTTATGAGGAACGTTCAGTGCCTCCATGCACTGAGTACCTGCCACTATAGGTGTTTCTAGGCAGTAATGAAAACACTGCCTTTTCCCTGAAATGGTAGTGTTTACATTAAAATGCCCGCATATTATAAACATTAGAACAACCACATTAAGCCGTAGTTCTTTTGGTGACTATAGTGTTCCTTTAAATATTTATTGGGGTGATGTGTAAACTAGAGGTAAGTAAAAAAAAATGAATTTTTCAGTACTTCTGGATTTTACAATGTTATTTTACCATAATACACCATGAACACATGCACACTTAGTCATCTTCTTCCCATAATGCTGTGCTGTCATGCCTGCTCAAAAGCTCCTCAAAGAAGCTATTTAATAGGCTCACAAGCACTGTGTAATGTGGACAGCCCTCTAGAGGGCACATAACAAATTAAGGGATTGACTCCTTGTAGGGTAGGGCAACCAATGGTTACTATGTGTGGCAGGAGAGAGGGGCCTCTTCTTGCCTTACTGGGAGCCCTTTCAGCCTGCCAGTCTCTCTCTGTTTTCCCCTCTGCAGGTTTTTTCCTGCCCTTCCGCCCAGGTTTTCAATTGTGGAATTGACTGTGGGGCGGCACTGAATTTTTGCCCCTCCTTACTCAGGGTAGTTAGTTGTGCAGTGGGAGGCCTGGTTAGTCAAGCACATGGTTCTTTAGTTTTTCTTTACTCTTCTGTGGTAGCTGTCTTTTAGGTACAGGACGCCTCTGCTTGGGCGGAAGCAATGGGGGTTCTGCCGCTTCACTAGGTGTGAGCCGCATTCTCTTGTGGTCTGAGGTATATAACTGGGTAGGGTCTCAGTGCCACTACCCTAGTAAACAGTTTTTCTGTATAAGCATTTTTATTTAATTTGTTGGTTAAACATTGGATGCCTTTGATTATTGGTTATTAAATCAACCAGTAATGTGTTTTTCCCTTCCAATCTCTTGTCTGTGTCTCTTTATTATATTGGCAGATGTTTGGAAAATTGTAAGAGGGTGGAGGTTGGGTAATGTTTTAATGTATGTAGATGCATGTAGGGACAATAGGAGATCTACACCTCAAGAGATTTAATTACATTATCACATTGCCCTGATGTGCCTTGACGTATGGGTGGGATTAAGAATGTAAGAAAGACAGGGAGGTAGGAGACTTGATTATTAAGAAAGTAGACCGGGTAATCTACTACTCTGATCACAACAGTCTGCCAATTTGCTGTCTCCCAGGGGCTCAGGTCCAGCACGTTGCTGACAGAGTTGATGGATTATTGGGGAGAACTGTAGATGGCCTAGCTGTCCTGGTTCATATTGGTAACACTGGCAAAGTCAGAGAAGGAAATAGGGTCCTAAAGAATAAGTACAGGGAATTGGGACATACACTGAAGAAAAGTACCTTCAAAGTAATAGTTTTAGAGATATTACATGTGCCACACACTTCAGTAGAAAGGCAGCAGGAGATCAGGAAGGTTATTGTGTGGTTAAAGTCGAAATGTAGGAAGGAGAGTCTGGATATTTAGATCTCTGGGCTAATTTTGTGATTGCGTACAATTTTTATAGCCATGATGAATTGCACTTAGATAGAAGAGGATCTGCTGTGCTGGTGCACAGGATGGCTAGAAGGTTGGAGAAGATTTTAAATGACTGGTAGGTGATAGAGACACAGAATATGAAAAAAGGGACAGAAGGGAGGTGGGATTTCATTCAGGACAAATGGTGGGGTGGAGGTAAGGAGATGGGTAAGATCAGAACAAATGGAAGTAAATTAAAAAAATAAATAAATACAATACTCATGTGGCTCATGACAATAATAAATGTATGCTTATTAATGCAAGGAGGCTAAATGTAACATTGGGAGAACTAGAGAAATGGTGACATAACAGTTATAATGGAAACATGGTGGAATGAAACACATTACTGAGCAGTTAACTGAAATGGCTTCACAATATTTAGGCAGTATAGAAAATCAATAAAGGTGGAGGGGTATGTTTGTATGTTAACCATGTATTAAAGCCAAATATTAAGCAAGTTGTATATGACAAGGGAAAAATGTAAGATTTATGGGTAGATATCTGCTTGGGGCAAAAGAGGTGAGTATGTTACAAACCACCTACTGTTGATATTGATGAGGAAGAACAGCTGTTAGAGCAAATTATTGGATATTTTAATTGCCCAGACAAAAATTGTGATAGAGGGACTAGTAGTTCAGCAAAGGGGATCATGTTTTAGAAACTGTCAAATGTAACTGGATTAGTTGTCTGGTTGACTCCAAGATAGGTATAACAATGTTTATGTATAAAAGTGCCAATTTCTACTGAAATATGCACTTTTTGTAAATTGATAAAAGTGGCCCCAATCTTCTCACATTGAGCATTTAAAAAAGCTAATGTGCATTATTGGTCTGGAGTTTCCTTTTAAATATAGAGCACAGAGTTTTGGCACATTTTTAAGCTGGACTAAAGTGGTAAGTAGAATCCGTCAGGAGTTTGTTCTGAGACAACTTCTTTTTAACATATGTTTAAATGATCTTGAAATAGGAATTGAAAGTCAGGTGTGTTTGCAGAAGATACTAGGCAAGATAATACAATGGGAGCAAGATATTACTTCATTGCGTAGGGATTTCGACTTGGCAATCAAATGGCAAATAAATGCAAAGTTATGTACTTCTGGGTGAAGAATGCACAAACAACGTAAATCATAACTGGTTGTGAATTAGGAAAAGTAACGCATGAGAAAGAGTTGGGAATTGTTATGTATTACAAACTCATTCAAAATCAACTAATAAGGTGTTTATATGCATGCAAAGGTGCATAAATTCTCGAAACAAAAATATAATTTTAAAAACACAAAACGAAATATCCCCACTAGATAAGCAAAATCACAAAACCTATTTAATGGTGTGTCCCTAGTACACCGAGAATAAGTAAAGCAAATAAAGAAGAGTAGGTGCGAACAATATATAAAAAAACAATACCACCTAGGTATCAATGCCAGGACAATGGCCAGATGAATAATAGGAAAAAACAAACTGTAAATAGTGTAATCAAGTAACAAATATGTAGACAAGCAAAGATGATGCTAAAAACTCACAAGAGTTCAGAAATATTCATGCTCATCATCCTTCCATATTGGGGTGATAGACATAGGTGTTCCAATTAGCTAGAGGTCTTCTTGTGCTTAAAAAGAGCAGAAAACAGTTTTTCTGACCCTGACAATTTTGCTCCAGGGCCTTCATTGTCAGCAGGATCTTCTGTTTTCTTTACGATGTTCTGAAATTAATTGGATGCAGGTGCAAATTTCTCTAGTGGACTTGGCGGAGGCTTTGGAAGGGGTACTTCAGTGTACACATAGCTCCCATTGATGCAAAGAGAAGACTTAAAAATAGGGCTTCCCTTTGGCTTAAGAGCTTGCATTTGAGATGGTGCTGTCAGAGCTCAGAGAAGTGTTGGATTTGGTGAGTGAGCTTTTGCGCAAATGTCCCTTTAAGAAAAAGGCCGCCTTGGACTTTGGCTTTCGTTCATCCACATCGTCACTATCAAGACAGCCCACGCTGCTTGGAACGATGGCGGAAGAGGACTCCATGTCAAAGAGTTTCTTGACTTTCATCTTATCCTTGAGCTTCCCAAATTGTGTCTTGGGTTTGTCCTTGACAGAGAGATTAAACATACTGGCAGTCAAGTTGTTTCTCGTGAACTGGATAGACACTTGGATCTCACTCCTCTCCTTCCTCCCCGGCTTTGAACGGAGCTTGCACCATTTGCCAACTGTCCTAATTTTGCTGCACAAGTCCTTTGTTGGGGACTCATGTCCCGCGGGACTGTCCTGCGTTATGAGATCTGGGGTACCCTGTTCTGTTGTCATGGTGTAATATATCTGATGTCTGGCTCCCAGATATTGCGCTCAACTCGAAAGCCATAACCTTAGAAGAGGTAATGAACCCAGCCAAAATCGATGTAGACCATCTAAAAAATGAGGATGTCCATCTGGAGTTTAAGCCCATACAGATTACCACACCACTGATGTTTTCCGAGAATGCATCTAAGAACAAATCTCAAGAAAATGTTGGAAAAGAAGAAAAGAAACCAAAGGCAAATCTCTTCCACCATTGGCCCGGCAAGAATGAACAAGAATGACAAGAGCCTAGCTGAACAAGCAGGACAGGGGTCAATGAATAGAGAGGAAAAAAGCAAGACTGGTGACTGGTTTGGTTCCAAAGACAACAAAGATGCAGTACAGAAACTAAGTCCTCATCCTGTGAAGCCTATAAGTGCCACATTGTCTGGTTGGGGCCAAGAGAAGAAGCCTAATAAACAAGCGCTCACCGCGGCTCTGAGCAGCCTGGAAGTGCTGAAATCTGTAACTGGCGGACAGCAGCAGGCACTGAAAAAACCCTGACCAGGGCAGAGTTAAGGATATCTGCTCTCCAGACACGGCTGCCAAGTATTACCACTTGACCCACGATGAGTTAATCCACATGCTGCTGCAGAAAGAGACTGAGCTTGGCAGAAAGGAGAATCATGTGCGTGAGCTGGAAGACTACATTGACAAATTGCTTGTTTACATATCATAGATCAAGCACCAACACTGCTGGAGGTCCCACTGGAGACCAAAATGGAGAAGAAATAAAAAAAACTCATGCTATTAAAGTTTATAAATCTAATGGGGGTATAACCTGTTAAGGTGTCAGAAACATTCAACAACCTTAGGTTTCCCTAGCATTTGAATCACATAAAATGTTCTGTGTTTATCTAAATAAATCTTCATAAGGTAGGAAACAGTTGGTTGTATTTGTCTTAACATGTTCTTTTGACCCTTTATTTGGAATTTTTTCTAATTTTTCCAGTGAGGACCTTGAACATAAATGAGAGACGGGACTTACTGTCTGTGTGATATCTGTTTAAATCTTTTCTGAAGGTCTCCACATTTTTTGTCACCTGGTAGTTGATTTAAGACAGAGTAGTCTTAAGCAATTCTTGCCACAGGGAAAGAGAATTTATTACAATAGTTTACAAGGCTCCCTTATGGCCTGAAAGGTAACAAACTTGGCCATACACCTGAAAACTACATTACTTTATGTTCATTGTTCAGTTGTCCCACAGATAGGCCCATTTGTTGTCACGTTATACCATCTGCTTTCCAGTTAGTAGTGGTGATTGTTTAGTGCTAATGTGCCAGACTCAGTAATCCAAAGATTTTGAAAAATTTATTTGAGTGCTCCTACTACATTACACAACCCCTGCTGGAGGAGGGCTACTGTCATAAAATGCTCATAAAGGGCAAGTCGACCATCTTGTATTCCAAAGCAATCAATTTACCAGGATCACTTCTAAGATATGAGTAAACCTGTAAATTGATGGTCAAAAATGACTTTGATTGGGGAAAATGGGTCTGGATGTCCTTTTACGCTTGACCTTTTTACATTTCTAGGGATTAGTGCGAAGCAGTCTTTTTGCACCCCTGCCATTCCAGACATTCTCTGTATCTCCATTGGAGTAGAACTGAGAATCCCTGAAGTCTAATGTGCGAATGAGGACTGCTTTGATAGCTGACCAATAATAGTTATTGCTGTGGTTTACTTTGTGCCTCTCTCCGTGCGCATTTAGTTAACATTGGAGCATGCATTCCTAGTGAGTGGTTTTTTTCTAAGCCAGCTTAAGGTAGGAAACTTAGTTTCAACAGAACGTCATTCTATAGCAGGTGTACTAGACGAAGAGTTTGGGTAAGAAAACTTTAGATGCCATGGAAAATGGATGTGTGTGTATATATGCTCAGGTTTAGTCCCAATAACCTCTGTATCCATGAAACATGCTGGATGCCATGAGTTGACATTTGGTGGACAAAGTGCAATATGTCAGCCAGTTTGGTTCCTAGTTACCATGACCCTGCAGTGGGTAAAACCCGATGCAATGCATCCACATAGGAAACTTTGTGTAATTTTGTTTTTTTTAAATGGTTTGTCTCTCCAGTGTTTGTTCAGTCAGGTGAATTTGCGTGCTGCCTGCCTTACCTGAATTGCCTTATCTGGTCCAAGCATGATTTGGTCGGTTTTCTAGCATCACCGCAAACGAGGTAAGGGAGGATAGACAATTTTTTTCATTGCTCTGAATGTTTTATAAAGCTGCTATATGCTACACATAGCTCAGGTTTACTGTATAAACTGTGCAAAGCAGTCTTCCTACCTCTAGTGTGAGCTGGGCATTCGCTCTTTATAATAAGCTGGGTCAAAAATGCCCTCCTCTAAGGGAAAAAGACTAGAATTGCATCATAATAAATGTTATACTGTTTGTTTGGGGGGGAGGAGAGGGGTGAGAGGGAGAGTCAGATATTTATAGAAATCTACAAACTGTTATAAATGGTATGTTTTATTGGGGAACATTGGCTGCAGACACCTGATTTGTCCGTATGATGTATAGGTAGGTGAACCATAATGGTTTAAATGTAAAAAGCCCCAGCAGGACTTTCCACCTCGAGAATAGTTTGACCCCCACGTTAGCAGTGCTTGGTTTTCAGTTGCTGTCTTTCCCAATCTTGCCACTGGTTCCACAGAGCGTGTTGACCAATGTATGACTTATTTCAGTATTAAAAGTGTTTGATTACCTTTGAGTTGTTGTTTTTCATTAAAGGCGGAAAATAAAACCTTCATAACCTTTCAATAGACAATCTTCTCTGTAGCTAGAAGCTTTGAATAGCTATTTGAAGCAGTCCGCTGTTCATCCACTGATCCTTGAAGGTTATATTTTCTTGCCACCAACTCCCACCAGGATTTCTTGCCAATAGTAGAAGTTCTAGCATAACGCAAGACATTCTAACAAAGATCAGCCTTTACTAGACCTAACCCTGGACCTTCCTTCCTGCTTTACAAAAGACAGATCTTTTTAAGATTACTTGAGTGTTTTGTAATCTGTAATGTTACATAAAGAATTTGTTAAGATTAAATCAATTTTTTACAAACTTGAATGGCTACAAATGTTCATTAGCATGGTGATGAAAAGTTAACACGTAATTTGATCAACAACCTAAAAAGTAATTCATTAAAGCAGCATTTATCTCAGACAAGTTCTAGTCTTGTGGTAGGTGTTTTATAGGAGGTGTTGGCTGACAAAATCCATTCTTGCCCACTTCAGTTTACTAGTTACTGTAGGGCCCTGTTAAGGTTTTTCAAACCAGAGAGTATTTCATAATATTGTATATCCGTGTTATTTGGAACTTTTGGGTGATTTGGGGCTAATATTCACTTACTACAGGAGCTTTTCACGCAGATCATCTTCTCTTTACGCAGTTAGACATGTGCCAATCTGCTTTTCTACTGCTGAGAACAAACGTTAATTGTGGTGATTTAAAAAAAAAAAAAAACAGAAGACTTTAGGCCAAAATAACACAATTGGAAAATGGATGAATTTGATTTTTCTAGTACAGCTTTTTTTTGTCCTACAGTTGTAAATGTGATTATCATTTCACTGTGTATTGATTATTCTGTTCTCAAAACCCAAAATGTACCCACAGGGAGCTCTTATGTTGATAGATAATGTGGGAGATGTCTGTTGATCCTGAGCTGATGCTTCCTATTTGTTTTGGGTTATGGGATAATTATCCAGTTGTTTTGGGTCAATACACTCACAATGTTCTCTATTAAGTCTACCTGCATCAATCGCTCTACCAAATATGTATTTTATATTTACTGTTGCTAATGTTCAGAATTTTACAGTTTTATTTTTAAGCACTTTAAAAATAATAAAGTCTGTTTAAACTTAAAAAAAAAAATAGAGCAGAAAACATGCAGATAGTGCAGATGGTAATATTCACAATAGATTTATTAAAAATGCATTTACAAGATAGTAGATAAAATAAAGCGTCTCTCCATGATATATGGATCTCTGGATACCACTCAATAGATGGGTGTAGCTTCAGAGTGAACACAAATCTTAAAGATGATAGAACCTCTCAAGGAAGTATATAACTTGAATAAAAACAAATAAAATAAGAACAGGTATACAAAAAGTCCTTGAAGGGTGTAAATCCGATGCGTTTCGCCTTCTAGACTTCCTCAGGGATGATGGTCTCTACTGGTATGCTACTCTTTTAAATAACTTGCTCATGTTGAATCGATGCAGTCCACCTGTGCGTCCCGTGCGTGTCATGCTGGAATGCACATGTGATATCCGGGTAATTGGCACCAATTAGCTGTAACCTATTGTGCATGTCCTTTGCATGTCACCCTGAAACGTAACAAACACTTCCTAGTTTCTTTCACTTTGGTGCTGAGTATCGGTGGATCTTAAATAATACATGCAGCATAGTCAGGGCTTATAGAACACCATGTATAGATGTTATTGAGGGAGACATCTATCATAGAAAAGAGGCTCCATGATCACCGGAATGATAATATATGGAAAATCTGTCTCAGAAAAAATATATAAAAATGTCTATGTATAAAAAGGTGGAAAAAATAAAAAGAACAAAATAAATATTGAATAAATATATAAACGCACAAAACAAATAAAAAAAAATCTAAATGTAAATCTAAACTAAAGCAATAGTTATAATAGAAGAAAAAAAAAAGATAAAGATGAATGAATGTGAAAAATTTTTTATTAAATTGTATGAAATGTATGGTTTGGTGATAATGTACACCCCAAAGATATACGACCACCTCATAAATCTTGAAACAACAATACATTTCACAGATCCCAATCTGTAACTGAGAACTATAGTTAGAATATGTATATATTAACTTCATAAACAAACATGTAGGAATAAATATACAAAAAATAAAAAAAAGAGAATGAAGGGGGGAGGGGGGCAATGAACAATGGAGCTCTGCTATTTTTAGATTAAGCCTATCAAATCGATGTCTTGATTCAGACCATATTTTAATGTTTGTAAATTATATATCCATTTTGCCTCTTTCTTATTGAGCTCTGCTGTTCTGTTGCCTCCCCACCAGTTCCTTTCTGTTGTGTCGATGACAACAACCAAAATATTCTCCCAAGTGAAATGTGGTCAAGCAATACAATATTTTGAATTATCCAGTTGTTTTGGGTCAATACACTCACAATGTTCTCTATTAAGTCTACCTGCATCAATCGCTCTACCAAATATGTATTTTATATTTACTGTTGCTAATGTTCAGAATTTTACAGTTTTATTTTTAAGCACTTTAAAAATAATAAAGTCTGTTTAAACTTAAAAAAAAAAATAGAGCAGAAAACATGCAGATAGTGCAGATGGTAATATTCACAATAGATTTATTAAAAATGCATTTACAAGATAGTAGATAAAATAAAGCGTCTCTCCATGATATATGGATCTCTGGATACCACTCAATAGATGGGTGTAGCTTCAGAGTGAACACAAATCTTAAAGATGATAGAACCTCTCAAGGAAGTATATAACTT